TGCCCTGCTGACCAGATAGGAATGATTACCTAGGGAGAATTTGGAAAAAGATTGCTGTCTGACGTAGAGCAGTTAATAATACATGTGTGCCTCCTTGCATTTTCTAACCTGGAGGATCTCTGGTGTGTTCTGCTGAGGCAGTAGGGGGGTGGGAAGCCTTATTTTCATTGTGCAAAGGCAGAGATTAAGTAGCATGAAAAGGTCACATTGCCAGGTTTGGTTGAAGGTTAAACCTTTTGGAACAGAGGACTGGTCAGAGCCAGGAGCTTTAGGTACACAAGCTGTGATTTTTGCAGTTCTCTGTTAGTTGCTGAAGCCACAGGCCTGTTCTTCTCTGTTACATGCCCCTTTCTGAAATCATTTTGTCCTCATGGGAAGAGTTGTGCTGCTGCACCAATGTCTTCTGTGTTGGTATTGAAAATCAGTGATTCTGACCCACTTCAATAGTCACAAGACATGAAGATGTTAGGAGAGTCTTTCAAGGAGAACATTAACATAGCCAATCCGAGGATTTTTCTCTTTTTTTCTTTCCCCCTTAAATGAAGTCTGTCATCTAAACCACTTCGTATTTCCCAGCCAGTGATTTCCAGAAAATCTTGCTGGGTCACAGCTCAGTTTCCCTGCCAGGTCACAGATTTGCACCAAAATATGCACTTGTCCCTTGGCAGAATTCTCTGCTTTGTTGCCTCTCCCCATGCCCAACATAAATCACAGTTTTAAGATCACAGTTAAGTATTTTTGGCTGGGAAATTGTCAGGCATCCACACAATGGGTTTTGCTGCCTTCACAGCTCAACTGAGAAATCTCTAAAATAAGGGCCACGACCTGAAGGGATGATTACCTGGAAATGCAGTTTCCCAGGATAAATTTTTCTGTTTGATTTCTTTCACAGATCGAAGTGGACCTCGGTAAAAAGTGCTGGTATCATTCGATATTTGCCTGCCCCATCCTTCGTCAGCAAACAACAGATAATAACCCGCCTATGAAATTAGTCTGTGGTCACATTATATCAAGAGACGCTTTGAATAAAATGTTTAATGGCAGCAAGTAAGTACCATTCTTTTATTTCCAGCAACATCCAGACAAGGGCAAATCTTAAAACTGGAATACTGTGTTTTGGGAAAACTGAGTCCATAATTACATAATCAGTGGAAGCTTGTTAATCTTGGAGAATGGTTTAAAAGCCAGATAAGAAGGGTTGATGCGCTGGAGAAAAACCATAATAAACACTCTGGTGTTGTGAAAAGTGAGTTTATGTGAAGGAATTTAATGAGCAGAGTAATTTTTCAAGTTGTAAGTCCCGTTGTGTTGTCTTAAATTCAGAGTGGAGGCCTTTACACACACAGCTTTTCCCTGGGAGCAAGGTTAGTAATGCATGAAACATAAAATAAAATCAAACCTCTGGGGAAATACAGCTTAGTAATTGAGCAGGTAGGGGAATTATCACTGTAAAAAATACTCCTCAGACATCTGTGGGGTGCCTGCAGGCTTTTGAGAAGCAGAAAATGGGAGAGAGAAAGCTACACAGATTTTCTGGAGGAAGAACCAGTGGTCATTTGGATGGAATAGATGTAGCTTCCGTGGAGGCTGCCAGCTTAATTTACAGCTGCAAGTTGTTTTGGGAGATCCAGTGTGAAAATGAGTGAGGCCATGAATGAAAATGTCGACTGATGTTTGCATTCTGTGTCCCGTTAGAGAAGCCTAAAGGGATGCCTCTCTCGGTGACTTTAGCCATTTTAAGCCAGTAAACTTGCTGCTGCATCATTCCTGTCCCCCATCACTCATTGCTGATGCTTTCATCGATCAGCTTTAGTGACAGCACAGCTCTGACAGTATTAACTGGGGCTGGGAGTGGAGAAGGTAAAAGGCCCAAACATGAGAGATGGGGGGACAGTGGACCAATGCTGAAAGAGATATTATAAGCAGGTAGGATTGTATCAGTGGAGACCCCAGCAGGGAGGCCAGGCTGAGCTCTTCAGTCATAACCTGCAGGAGCTGATCTAAATGGGTTGTAAAAATCACAGCATTTTGAGAACCAGACTGTAAAATGCACTAGATGCTGGGGGAAGCCCCCAGCTGATCTGAAATCACTGTAAGGCCAGGCTGGATGGGGCTCTGAGCAACCTGGCCTAGTGGAAGGTGTCCCTGGCCGTGGCAAGGGGGGTGGAACTGGGTGCTATTTAAGGTCCCTTCCAACCCAAACCATTCTGTGATTGTAAAATACAGCAAGCGAATCCAGAAGTAGAAATAATAGCTACAAAGAAATTCCTCTTCATGGTTAATCTAATAATGCAGGGGCGTGGGGGTGGAAGGTGAGAAGGACTGGAAAGAAAAACATCATAAGGCCTCTCTCAGCCAAAGGTGACTTTCAGTGGAGCCAAGTAAACTGTTGTGGCTTGAGAATGCATTTGTTTCATGCTGCAGGGGTAAAACTCGATAGCTTTAATGCTCAGTTGTCACACCTTGCCCCTATTCTAACACGTTGTTTTTGTCCCCAGATTAAAATGCCCCTATTGTCCAATGGAACAGAGCCCTGGAGATGCCAAACAGATATTTTTCTGAAGAGAAGTTTCATTATGCAGTTTGTAAGTGACACTCTGGATTTCAGGTGCATTTCAGGAGAATTAAAACACACTTGTTCCCTTTTATGCAGCAGACTGAGGACTCCTGTGTTTGTATAAGCTAATGCTACAGAAACTTTGCCAACATTTAGTATATACATACCAAGTGGGAATGCTACAGAAATATTATTACCATAGGGCTTTACTATACTCTTGGTCTCCATACCTGATCAAGTTACTACACCAGCAGTTGTCATTCAATGCAGGTTTTTGTACTTAATTATACGGTGACTTTTTACTTTTTAAAGGCAGAAATGGATCCACCCCCATTTGTTTAATATTCTTCCTGCTATTATTCTGTCATTTTACTGATAACTGTCATCTTAGAGAATGTTTGTGGACAAAGTTTTATTTCCTGTAATGTGTACATAATTAAAGGTAAATACTTCAGAAAAAAAAAAAAAGTTTGATAAATTGAATAGTCGTTATAAAACTAATTTGTATTTTTTTCGCTGAAAATGCTGTGATATATTCCGAGTTTTTTCTTTCAAACATTTTTTCAACTTTTACATAGAATTCAAAGTAAATGTGCATATATATAAAGTATATAAAATATATAGCCCCGAGGGGCTACTTGTTAAAATCCATCACTAATTTATAAGGGTGATGTGTGGCTAAAGTACTACTGGGGCAGAGAGGGAACAGGAAATCCTGTTCCTTTGGTTTCACGAGGGAGAAGTGTTTGTGTAAGAGAACCTTCAATAAATTCTGAAGTGGAAATGCTTTTAGTCGATGACATTTGCTCTCTGGCCTTTGTAGTCACGTTCTTTGAACTTTGTATTCAGGATTAGGCTATAAATGTCATGTTGCTGTATAGTTTAATAGTCATTATAGTGTGCTATTTATAAACAGTTATCAAAACCAAATAAATTGTAGAAGTATTCATTGTTAAATGGGGGGAAAGCATGTTCCGATGCAACCTACTGATCACAACTCTGCACTTGGCAGAACTGGGCCCTACATCATATTTTAGGAGGTAGCAAGTTTTCTGTAGCTTGAGAACACTTTGCTTCTAGCCTTGTTTTTGTAGTAGGATATTACTGCCATTGCCACTTTTTCTGCTAAATTTGTCATATTGTTGACTAGGTAAATTTGTACTCATAAAGGAGACGTAGATCATGGCAGTTAAATCTTTTTTAGTGTGCATATATTTGTATTTATTGCACTGTCCTATAGTAGGGCAAGCAGCCATAAGGCATGCAAAGCTACATGTAAAATTATATTTCTGTATTGTGTAGTTAAAAAAAAAAAAAAAAACAAAAAACAAAAAACAAAACCAGAAAACAAACAGCAACCAACAACCCCAAGCTTCTGTGGTTGAACACTGACACACTGGCTGAATGCACTAGCACAAATGCACTACAGAGAAGACCGTCTTTGGGAAATCTCCACCTTTTGAATTTGTCTGTCACCTGACTGGAGACACTGAGTGGGACTCTTATCGCTTCAGTGACAATGGACAAACCTACAGAGACATTAAAAAGAGGAGCGAGTCAAGGCACACAAATTTTAAACTTCAGATGTGTTTGATACATGTGAAAAATACAGGTGTGTGATTTTTTTTTTTTTTTCTTCTTCTTCCTGCAAAACTTACATTGTATTCACACTGAGTTCAAAACAAGTTACCAAGTGGTAAAATCAACAATAAACGGGTGAGGATATTATTTTCCATGTAGGTTTCCTAGTCTTCCTGGAATTGCTTTTTAATCTTTTCTTCTGCCTGCAATTGCTTAATGCTTTGGATTTATAGAAATGGTATATGAAGTATTTAAAAACAAACAAACAAAAAACCAATAAAACAAGACCAGAAAAACAACCAGTAATAACAATCCCCCCAAAAAAACCAGCCTGAAATACGAGTGCTGCATCTTCCTCTGTTACATTGCTGATGTTTTGGCGCTGTTGTGAACACCAGTCAGTGTTGATAGCTTAGAGTCCAAGAATGGCACAGTTATTAAGTGGAAATAGGGTACAAACTCACCTTAGGTGTTAAATATCCCCTGAACTAGTGCATGCTATGGATCCATAGCTAATTCAAGAGCTCAGCTGTTCTTGCCTCGTGATTGCAATTCTCTTCCTACCTGCCTGTGTTGCAGACTCAGAAATCCTTGCCTGCAGTTGTGTGTGTCCACCAAGAGATGGTGCTCGCAGATCAGGATTGGGAGCCTGTGTGCTCATCCTAACAGGGTGCTGTGCTGGGTGGGCATTTGGGAAACAGCTCTGCAGTTTGCTTGGCACAGATTCCCAATCTGCCCTGTGAGGTGATGCGGGTTCTCTCCTACTGCTGCCTGATACGGTTCTGGCAACTGGAGAAAGTGCTTGCAGAGGAAAAGTGATTAATACTCTGAGGTTTTAATTCTTTATAATATATGGTGGTGTGCATGTATGGTCCCTAGCAGGGTGTGGGAACATCCTTAGTAAAAAAGTATTTATTTTTAGAGCCGCAGTGGTACCTGAGGTCTGTCTCCATTACACTTCTGGACCAGACTGTGAAACCTTAAATTAGTCCCTGTGTGCAGCAGTTGCCTTTTAGTGAGAGTGTTTTGGGATGGGAGTGAAGAGACTCATCAGGTTTCTGTCTGTATCCCAATCACCCTGCCACTCCTGTGACTGCTGGGCTTGCTGCTGGTGCTTTTCCCCCCTTTGTTGTTTCTCTGCAGCAGCAAGGGCACCAGTTGGTATTGTAGATGGGCCTTGAACCAAGAAATTTTTCACCATGCTTGTATGAACATTTTAGTTTAGCCTAAGGGCACTCTGAAAGTAATGGGTGTTTATAAATTTGATTTTTGTAGTGGCAGTTTGTTAGTAGTGTTAGTTCTGTGCCTAATTAATGGGCTGAGAGTTTCAGTTCTTATAAATGCCTGAAATAGGAAATCATTGTAATACGTTTTTGTGGGGTTTCAAGTCTGACTTGTTTTATAAAAAATAATCAAACCTTAAAAGCAGATAGTAGGAAATGAAAATAGTGCATGGCCTTTTTGATCTCCAAAGGTAGTGTTCATTTTTGTGGCACAGAGCTCACATCCTTACCTCCTGTTAGTACTCTCGATGTTCAGCTGCTCTGTGAATTACTTTTTAATTAAATCTTCTCCTGTAGTGACCTCAGCACTGCACACTGCAGGTAGACGTGGCTGAACAAACGATCTTCCCTCCTAAAATCAGTCTTCCTCTGTGGAAACACTGTATTGATTTCAGTCTGCTATTTGTGAGTCAGGTTAATTAAGGTGTGGGGAAGCTACAGTGAAAACTGTGTGTTACCAGTAACGAGTCAGAGCTTTTGATCCCTATTCCTGTTGCTTTGATCCTTTCTTCTTGACACTTTGCAGGATGGCTGCTGCTAAAATTCAGGGTTGAAGTTATTTATCACCCAGAGCCAACTCGCCCAGTTTAATGCAGTAAGTTTGGGTTAGGTTTTCCTTGTTGAGATTGTTTGCCCACTGCAAGATACAGTTTTTCTTTCTGTGCTTGTCACTTCAGAGGTTGATTTGTCTCTTGAGGGGAGAGGGATATCATGCTCCTTAATCCGTCTCCACTCATGGTCTCTTCCTTCTGTGATTAGGAGACTGCAGTGAAGGGAAAGAAACTTTGAGAACAAGAGAAAAAAAAAAAGAGTGTGGCAGCAATGATTTGTAGTGAGTTAAAGCTGTAACGTGGTGTTACACCACTATTCTAAATTTCATTCAAGTCTTAGTATATAAAAAAGAAGAGTGGTTTACAAAAAATGTGAGATAACAGTGACTTAATCTTCCTTTATGACTTCAAGATTGCATTAAATTAGGAGTCCTGTAGAGAAATGTGGAAACTGGAGTTGTTTACAGCCTTCTACAAGCTCCTATCGAGTCCTTCTGGGCCTGCGTGGAGGAACTGCTGCTTTGGCTCACACTCACTTGTAGTAATTTTTACAGGACCAGTTGTATGTGTATATTCAAATGCAAAAACCCTGCAAGTGTTGTCCAGTTCCTGTTCCACTGTAGAATTTTTCTCTTTGTAGGGGATTATTTTGAAACAGCACAGCCCCAGCGCAGACTGGAACAAAGAGTCAATGCTGAAGCTGGTGGGGGCTGTGGCCTGGACTGCAGTGAGCAAACCTTACCCCAGTTCAGCTTTTTGAAATGGAGATCCCCTTTTTCTCCTGCCTTTCCTCTGCCTTGTGTTTGTTTGCAGACTCGGTGACACTGCTGTTGATTTCTTCCTTCTCACTGAGTGTCAAGTCATGGCTGTGGCTTTTTCTTTGCTTTGGCTAACGAAACAAAGGGATGGGGAAGGTGCAAATAGTGTCTCAGTTCAAGTCTTAAGCATCACCCACGAGACATTTGGTTGTGGGGAGAGGAAATAAATCTACAAGGACAATTCTTCCCCCTCCTCCCCGCTAACCAAGAGCAAATTCAATATTTTCCAAGGTTTCTGAGTTACACGGGAGGTTTCCAGGAATGTGGAGCACAAACAGATGTGATCAATCTCCCATGACAAAAATTTACGTGCATTCAATTTATTCAGCGCAGCTCAGGATGGGAATCCAGTGATGGATAGGTCGTGCTGACCCTGCATGTCAAACAGATTTAATGTCACATGAATCAGAAGGGGGAAACCTATTTACAGGAAGGTCATGTTTCACTGCCTATTTACTGTTCTTCCAGGATTTCTGTACTTCTTTTACTTGCCTAATTTGCTTTTCTGTCCTGAGTGCTGCAGAAACAGCAGCAGGGGAGGTGGTTCCTGGGAGTGGCTTCCAAGCACTTGTACAACATGCACTAAAGCTGTAGTGAGAAGAGTCTGGGTGGAGCTCAGGTGCCTTCCCTGTGTAGGGTCATCTGTAAATACAGGTGTGGACAGACGAACTGACTTTACCTGACCAGTCCAGTTACTGTCTCTTCTGGGGTCATCTTGGCTGTATTATGTACCTGGAACTTACTTAAACTAATCAAAATCCTTTTATCAGGCCTCTCATGCCTCAAGTAGGATCGGGCACCCCAGCCTGCTGTGCCCCATCCCTCTGGGATCCACAGCAGCCCCAGTTTCTCAGAAGTCACACACAAGCCTTGTCCTTTGTCTGCAGGCCCCAGGTTGCATTTCTTGACAGGGATTCTGCATCATTCTCTTGAGCACACTCGAGAGTTCTGATGTTGATGGCAGAGCCGAGATTATTTTCGTACCCAGAGAGACACAGATGGTTCATGGCGGAGATCCATGTGTATAATTTATCTCCAAACACAGGAGTTGCTGGCACACACCTGGGTTCTTCATTTGCTGGATTGTTCTCTTTGCAGTTCTTCTTTGGTCAGTTCTTCTTTGCAGTTGCTCAGGAAAAGCTGTTTTGTGCAAGGAAGGGGGTCTGTGAGCTGAACTGCCCCATACCCAGGGGCATGATTTACTTTTTCTCTGCTTTAACAGCTTGTGGTTCTATTCTCTAACCACAGGAGCTTGTGCCCTGCCAAAAAACCCCTTGTCTGCTTCACCAGAAAGGGCTCTTGCTGCTGCCTCTGGGTGACCACTGGTACATGGGTGTTGGTGATGCTTCCTGGAGCTTTGCACGTATGGGCTTTCCTGCTGATTATTCTTCTGTGTAAGGTGGGGTTTTTTGGGTGGGGGGTGTTCCTATTTTTTTTACTTTTTTTTCTTCCTTCTTCACAAAGAAAGCCCCTTTTTTCCTGGGTCCATCAGAAGGCAGATGCTGCTGACTTTGTTGCCATTGCTCTTGGGGCTGCTACTCAGAGCTGAGCTATGGAAAATGGTTTAGGAACTGGGTTTATTTCTTTGGGCCTCACAGCATTTTGGGGAGTGAGGAAAGGTGCTGTTAGGTTGCTGAGATGTGTGAGGCTCTCTGGTGCTGTGTGCCCTGTGCCCTGTGGAGAGTGGGTTGGAGGATCAGTGTGAAGATGCATGGAGGGAGGCAGGAGCCATCCCAGAGCCTCCTGGGTTTGGCACTGGGCTGGGAAGAGACCAGCTGTGTTCTGTGATTCAGAACTACAGGTCAAAAATCAGTAGGTTCTGCTGTGCAGCCGTGTTCAGGGGGTTAATTACTGCTGTAAGTGTTGAAATTCTTGTCCTAGATGCTGATTTCCTGTTCAGATGGAGAAGTCTCAAATAACAACAACAACAAAAAAAAAAAACCTAAAAGGAGTAACAATACGCCCAAACCCAAAGATCTCCTGCTTTCAGTTCTTCCCTCCATTCATCTGCAGTGTCAGGAAGGCTTTGGCTGCCTCGACTTGGCTGCAGGACTCTGGTCTGAGTGCAGCAATTCACAGTGGAGCATCACTGTTAATAATGCCAGCTAATTATGCCCAAATACATGTATTTTACATGGCTTAGGTTTTACTTTTATCTGTTAGTCCTACAGTAAGATTCCACGCAGAAGGGAGAATTTTGTTGAACATGTGTTCATCTTATGGAAACGCTTTTTGATTTTAAATACCCATATCCTGTTTTTCCCTACAGGATTGACCTCTGTGGGGTCTCTTAGAAATAGGAACAACTCAAAGTATTTTAATCTGTGGATATTGAAAGAATAATGAAAGTATAACATAGTTTACAGGGAGTACAGAAATACAGAGGAACGCTTCTGCTCAGTTTTCTGTTCAGCATTTAACACTGGACATGGAATTTTGGTTTGTGTCACAGTCCACATTCAACTCCATTCAACAGAGAAAACACATTTTCAAGGAAACGCTTCCCAGGCATAATATGAGGCCTTTTGTGGGGAAACAAGCCCTGATGCCTGCAGTCAGATCATTGCACCTCCTTTCTACAAAACCATTTGAAAGAGCTGGAGTGGGAGGGGAAGGTCAGCGTGGAAATGTGGAGAGGATTTGCTGGGAGATATGCAGACAGTGACTTTAACAGTGGTCCTTCTCCTCCCTTGCCTGTGTCCTGATTATCTGATGCCTCCCAAAGCAGATCCCAGGGACATCCATGGCCCTGAGGGACAGGGCTGTGTTTTCAGGCCAGAGGTGGATCTAGAGGGGGTTCTGGTGAGTGCAACGTTGACGCAGCACGATGGTGATCACCAGGAGCTGGAGGGTCAGGAGGCAGAGGCCTGTTAAGGGGGCCCATATGAAGATGAGACAGAAGGAATTCAGCTCTTCCTGCATTGTTGTCTCTGTGGGAATAGAGAAGGGGAAAGGTCCAGCGGGTGCTCAGGGCTGGTGACAGAGCCAGTTGTGCTGTAGCCCAGGGAGCTGCCAAGGGCCCTGTCTGGCATTCCACGAGGCTGGTGGTGAGGCAGAAAGGTTCCACTGAGCCTGCAGGGATGTTTTTCCTTAGTGCTGCTGCTCTCAGCATTTTCCTGGGACTCAGGGGAAGACACATAACCAAATATTTTCTTGTGTGTCCTGAAGAGGGTAAAACCTGCCCAAGCTCACGAGGCTCTTCCCTCCCTCCCCCTCTTCCAAGCGTGCCCAGGCATGAGACATTCTCCTGCTTTGCACCTCGTCCTGGGCCTTTCCTACTTGGGATAAAACTGTGTAGCGCTCCACGTTTCAAAACCTGCTAAAGCACTGTGGATTTTCACTCTTGCCCCATCCCTTAATGCCTGCAAGATCCCCCTCAGTATCAGTGGACCTGACCCCAGCTCTTCCCCTTTCTCTCCATTTATCCAGCCTACCTGGAGCCAAGGTCCTTATGCAGGGGTCCTTTTCAGTGATGCCATGCTGGGTGGTGGGTCCTGCTGTGCTGGGTGCCAGTGTGGTGGTGACTGTGAGTGAAAATGGATGAATTCAGCATGTGGGGAAATAATAAAACAGGACCCTCCTGACCTGTTCTGTGCCCAGGGCGCAGCTGTTCCTGTGCGCAGCATAGGGCTCATCTCCAGAGGGACTTCACCGAGCCCACTTTGGGTGGGGACTCCCCAAGGGAGGGTCTCCCAAGACCCAGTAAAGAGCTGTAGGCTCCTTATGTCTTGCTGTCTGCCACCATCCTCAGAAAGACTGAACACTCTGAGTTTGGTGAGGCAGGAGAGAGAGATGCTGGACTTTGCTTTAGAGCCACGGATGGGATTAAGAAGTGGGGCCGGGAAGTTGATGCTGGGTCTGCCTAATCATCTTTGCCTTTGGGCAGGAGCAATCCCATGAAGAGAGACAGCAAGCCGGGGAGCCTCTGGCAGGAGGACCAGTGTGTTGGTCACAAGATGCCTTGGGCAAGCAAGCAGGGAAAAGGAGTCTGTGGGAGAGAAGAATGCTTAAGAAAGGCATAGGCAGGAGGTGCTGGGTATATTTTAGCAGAGCTCAGAGTGGTTGGGTGGAGATGTTGCTGACCTGGTAGAAAGGCAGGCTGGCCGTGGCTGAAGTACAGCATTTGGTTGATGTTCATGAGGCAGAAATAAATCCCCTCGTCCTGCTGTGTGAAAGACTTCACTACCAACCAATAGAACCTGTTGTGTCTGCCAGCCTCGAAGCGTGTGGATGTTCTCTGATTCCCCTCGAAGGTGGGCCCAGATAGGGAAGAGAAGAAGACAATGAAGTGAAGGGTCCCATTGCTGTCCTGGCGGACCCAGAACATGCCACTGTCCTTGTCATTCTGACACTCCACTTCCAGCTGCTGTCCCAGCTGGATTTGAGTGATGCTGTCACGAAACCTGACGTTCATCTCATGGCCATGGATCCCAGGGCAGCCTGGAGGAGAGAAATCCTTGTTGGAACTGCTTGGGAAGAGCCAATGGTCCCTCTGGGAAAAATCTCCTGCCCTGTCCATGGGAGGAAAGTAAAAATGCAAAGGAGGCCCATGGTGTCTGCATGACTGGAAGGTTTTGTTGGAGTCCTTGCAGGGATTGTGCATGGAGGGTGCTCAGCAATCAGCCATGTGGGCTTTATAGATGGGTGCTGCCCTTCCAGCTGCCTTTCAGCGATCTTATCCCTTCCCAGCTACACTGAAGGGTCTCCCTAAACCCAGTTACTGCTAAGTCCCCTTTTTTTCCTGACCTTCTTCCCTCAGGAACTCCTTATCTGACCAGGTGCCCTCCCTGGTGCTCGTGGCTGCCCTAAACCAGCTGAGGCGATGCCGCCTTTCCTCTGCAATTCCTGAGCACGCCTCAAAGTCAGCCTTTTTGCCTTGCTATTTTTCCCCCTTTAGCTATTTATCCCAATTTCTTGGATTCAGTGGAAGGGTTTTTCCTTGCTTCTCCCAGTGAAGGAGCTGCCCCACCCTGTGTCCATACTCACAGAGTCTCAGAGCGAGCAGGAGGAGCAGGGCAGGAGACCCGTCCATCTTCTGCTGGGGGTGTCTGTCCCTGGAGAAGGTGCAGCGCAACTGAGGTGATCTTTGTCACTTGATTTGGGAGGCTGGGTCACGCTTTGGGGAGGATGTGATGTCATCAGGACCCTCTTGGGTAAAGAGACGGTGCTCGGCATCTGCGGCAAAATGCAGGGAGAAAGAAAATTCTTGAAGAAATTCAGTTCTAGTCCTCAGTTGGAGTAATATTTCCTTATCAGTTCTCAATGGTGCCTGAAAGAATTTGCCTCAGTGACTTCCCTAGAGCTCCTGATGATGCTGCTCATGGCTGAGGTAGGATTGGGCACCCCAGCCTGCTGTCCCCCAGCCCTGTGGGGGTCCACAGCAGCTCCAGCTCCACAGAAGTCACAGACAAGTCCCATCCTGTGGCTGAAGGCCCCAGGTTGTGTTTCTTGTGAGGGATTCTGCCTCCTTCTCTTGAGCACACTCAGGGAGTCTCGTGTGGATGGCAGAGTCCGGAATATTCTTGTACCCAGCAAGTGAGACACAGGTTTTTCACGGCACAGATCCATGTGTATCATTTATCTCTGAGTGCACACATTCCTAGCACACAGCCAGGTTCTTCAGGTGCTCGACTGCTCTCTTTGCAATTGCTCAGGAAAAGATGCTTTGTGCAAGGTGGATGGTCAGTGAGCTGAACACAGAGTGCCCAAAGCCCAGGGGTATGATTTGCTTTTGCTTTCTTTTAACAACTCGTGGTTCTCTTCTCTAACCACAGGAGCTTCCGCCCTGCCAAGAAACCCTCGTGTGCATCAGTGGAGAGGGCCCTGGTGCTGCCTCTGGGTGACCACTGGCACATGGGTGATGCTTCCTGGAGCTTTGCACATACAGACTTTTCTGTTGCTAGTTTTTCTGTGGATTTTTTGTTTGTTTGTTTGTTGTTGTTGTTGTTGTTGTTGTTGTTGTTGTTGTTGTTGTTGTTGTTGTTGTTGTTGTTTAAATCCTCCTTTGCAAAGAAAGCCCCTGTTTCCTGAGTGTGTCAGAAAGCAGATGCTGCTGACTTTGGTGCCATTTGCTATTGGGGCTGCTACTCAGAGCTGAGCTATGGAAAATGGTTTAGGAACTGGGATTATTCCTTTGGGCCTCACAGCATGTTGGGGAGTGAGGAAAGGTGCTGTCAGGCTGCTGAGATGTGTGAGGCTCTCTGGTGCTGTGTGCCCTGTGCCCTGTGGAGAGTGGGTTGGAGGATCAGTGTGAAGATGCATGGAGGGAGGCAGGAGCCATCCCAGAGCCTCCTGGGTTTGGCACTGGGCTGGGAAGAGACCAGCTGTGTTCTGTGATTCAGAACTACAGGTCAAAAATCAATAGATTCCCCCAGGCAGTGGATTTTGAGCTTATAACTCAGTGTTGTAATTCTTTTCCTAGATGCTGATTTTCTGTTCAAATGAAAACTACTGAAATAACAACAATCAAAACCCACAAAAAAAACCCCAAAAACCAAAAAAAACCAAACCCAAAGATATTCTGCTTTCAGTTCTTCCCTCCATTCATCTGCAGTGTCAGGAGGGCTTTGGCTGCCTCGACCTTGCTGCAGGACTCTGATCTGAGTGCAGCAATTCACAGTGGAGCTTCACTATCAGCAATGTCAGCTAATAATGCCCAAATATATGTATTTTACATTGCTTAGAGTTTTGTTTTGCTCTGTTTATCCCACATTAGGACTCCATTCAGTAGTGAGGACTTTGTTGTACATTTGTTCATCTTGCTGAAATGCTTTTTGCTTTAAACACCCACCTCCTGTTTTTCCCTACAGGATTGACATCTATAGGCTCTCAGAGCATTAGGTCTAGCAATAAACGTTCAGTCTGTGGATCATGAAAGAATAATTTATTTTGAAAGTATAACAAAGTTTACAGGGAGTGAAATACAGAAAAACACTGCTGCTTGGTATTCATTTCATTTTGTTTTGTGTCACAGTCCACATTCAACTCCATTCAATAGAGAAAACACACTTTCAAGGAAACACTTCCCAGGCATAATATGAGGCCTTTTGTGGGGAAACAAGCCCTGATGCCTGCAGTCAGATCATTGCACCTCCTTTCTACACAACCATTTGAAAGAGCTGGAGTGGGAGGGGAAGGTCACTGTGGAAATGTGGAGAGGATTTGCTGGGAGATATGCAGACAGTGACTTTAACAGTGGTCCTTCTCCTCCCTTGCCTGTGTCCTGATTATCTGATGCCTCCCAAAGCAGATCCCAGGGACATCCATGGCCCTGAGGGACAGGGCTGTGTTTTCAGGCCAAAGGTGGATCTAGAGGGCGTTCTGGTGAGTGCAACGTTGACGCAGCACGATGGTGATCACCAGGAGCTGGAGGGTCAGGAGGCAGAGGCCTGTCAAGGGGATCCAGATGAAGATGTGACAGAAGGAATTCAGCTCTTTCTGCATTGTTGTCTCTGTGGGAATAGAGAAGGGGAAAGGTTCAGCAGGTGCTCAGGGCTGGTGTCAGGGCCAGTTGTGCTGTAGCCCAGGGAGCTGCCAAGGGCCCTGCCTGGCATTCCACGAGGCTGGTGGTGAGGCAGAAAGGTTCCCCTGTGCCTGCAGGGATGTTTTTCCTTAGTGCTGCTGCTCTCAGCGTTTCCCTGGGACTTGGGGGAGGACTCGTGGCCAGAAGTTTTCACATATCTCCTGCCAAGGATAAAACCCCTCTCCCCACCTTCCCTGTGTGCCCAGGCATGAGACACGCTCATGCTTTTGTCCTCATCCTTTGCCTTTCCTACTTGGGATGAAAAATTGAAGTTTAATGCTTCCAGCTCTGATAAATCTCTGTGGATTTTCACTCTCCCTCCATTCTAAAATGCTTTCAGGATCCCCCTATGTACCAGTGGGCCAGAGCCCAGCTCTTTTCCTCTCCTTCCCTACATCCTGGGTACCTGGATCTGGAGTCTTGATGTAGGGGTCCTTTTCAGTGATGCCATGCTGGGTGATGAGTCCTGGTGTGGTGGTGACTGTAAATGAAAATTCAGCAGGTAAGCAAATACAGTAAAACAATAAGGTTTTAAAACATAAGGTCTCTCCTGCCCTTTCTACTCTCCCTGCCCTGCCAGGGTTTGTCTGCTCCTGTTTCACAGCACAGAGCTCAGATCCACGTGGAATTCACAGAGCCCCTTTTGGATGGTGACTCCCCTAAGGAGGGTCTCCCAAGAGCCAGTAAGGAATGGCAGGGTTCTTATTTCTTTCTGTCTGCCACCACCCTCAGAAAGCCTGAGCACCATGGGGTTGCTGGGCTTCGGGGACCGATGTTTAGGGGAAAGGACGGGGTAGTGGTGGACTTAGCTTTCATCTTCTCCTGTCAGAGCCATGGACGGGATGGAGAAGTGGGGGTGGGGAAATGATGCCGGGTCTGCACAGTCATCTTTGCCTTTGGGCAAATCTCTCCATGAGGAGAGATGGCAAGTAGGGAACCTTCAGCAGGAGCAGTGGGTTGGTCACAAGATGCTTTGGGGTTTGTGGGAGAGGCAGCTCATTAAAACAGGCATAGGCAGGAGGGCATTTTGGCAGAGCTAAGCAAGGTTGGGTGGAGGTGTTGCTGACCTGGGAAGAAGGCAGGCTGGCCATTGCTGAAGTACAACATTTGGTTGATGCTCATGAGGCAGAAATAAATCCCCTCATCCTGCTGTGTGAAAGACTTCACTACCAACCGATAGAACCTGTTGTCTCTGGCAGCCTTGAAGCGTGTGGATGTTTTCTGATTCCCCTCAAAGGTGACTCGGGACAGGGAAGAGATGAAGACAATGAAGTGAAGGGTCCCACTCCTGTCCTGGCGGATCCAGAATGCTCCACTATCCCTGTCAGTCTGACACTCCAGTTCCAGCCGCTGTCCCACCCGGAGTTGGGTGATGCTGTCATGAAACCTGACCTTCATCTCATACATCTGGCCACGGATCCCAGGGCAGCCTGGAGGAGAAAAATCCTTGTTGGAACTGCTTGGGAAGAGCCAATGGTCCCTCTAGAAAAAAATCTCCTGCCCTGTCCATGGGAGGGGCGTACAAATGCAAAGGGAGAACCACACTGTCAGGAGGACGGGAAGGTTTTGTTGGAGTCCTTGCTGGGATTGTGCATGGAGGGTGCTCAGCAATCAGCCATGTGGGCTGTACACATGGTGCTGCCCTTCCAGCTGCCTTTTGGGGATTACTCCTCTCCAGCTTATCTGAAGTGACTCCCTAAAAACACTCTCTACGGGACCCCTTTTCTCTCCTTTCTCCCTTCCCTCATCTGACCAGGCTCTCTTCCTGGTGTTTGTGCTGCTGCAGCCTCCCCTCCAGCTGCCCTACGCTGACTGAGGTGATCTTGCCTTTCCCTCTGCAATTCCTGACCACATCTCAAAGTCAGCTTGTTTGGCTTCCTTCCCATCCCCATCCTCCTCTGCCTCCCCCAGCCTTTAACTTTTTAGCCCAATTTCTTGGATTCAGTGGAAGGGTTTTTCCTTGCTTCTCCCAGTGAAGGAGCTGCACCACCCTGTGTCCATACTCACAGAGTCCCAGAGTGAGCAGGAGGAGCAGGGCAGGAGACCCGTCCATCTTCTGCTGGGGGTGTCTGTCCTTGGAGAAGGTGCAGCGCAGCTGAGGTGATCTTTGTCACTTGGTTTGGGAGGCTGGGTCACGCTTTGGGGAGGATGTGATGTCATCAGGACCCTCTTGGGTAAAGAGGTGATGCTCGGCATCTGTGGAAAAATGCAGAGGAAAAGAAAATTTCTCAAGAAATTCCGTTTTAGTCCAGAATTTGGGCTCATTTATCCTTATCAATTCTTAATGGTGTCTCCCGGAGTCTGCCTGAGTTCCCTAGAGTTCCTGACTGATGCTGCTCGTGCCTGAGGTAGGATCAGGTACCCCAGCCTGCTGTGCCCCAGCCCTCTGGGGGTCCACAGCAGCTCCAGCTCTGCAAAAGTCACAGACAAGTCCTATCCTTTGGCTGAAGGTCCCAGGTTGCATTTCCTGGCAGGGATTCTGCCTCCTTCTCTAGAGCACACTCAAAGGG